AATCATAGTTGCGTATTACAACAAATATCGCACTCTTCGACGATTAGTAATACGCTTCATCTATAATATTCACCCTAATCAACATTGCTTCCACGAGAGTATATCTCTCCTACGTGGTCGCAGAAGATCCATTATCACCTTGTGTATATTTCTTTACATTTTTTTATATATTTTTTTATTCTAAATATATGGACTAATCTGATTAGTCCAATTAAAGTCAATCATCCTCCAAATTAATAATCAAAATTACTCATATTATTCCGCTTAACAATCTATAAGACTTGATTAGTTTAGAATCTGTTAAAGCAAGCACTAGCAATTAATTAATTATCAATATTATTTCAAAGTTCAAATAATATTTTTGTATAGTGAATTTCAATTTATTCTTCTTTTAAGATTTCATATTACATTGATGTACTTTAATTCGTATTTATTTAAAATATGTGCTCCGAAAATTATGAATTTGTATTACTATTTTTTGTTTTTTTTATAGTTTATTAAAAATAAAAAAGTGTCTTGTATATAAATGATGTAATATATATATCAGACACTCGATGTAACTGCATACTTCGCGTTAATATAAATGTAATTAAATAAAAGATTTATATGTACTCTATCGATCAAACATAGATTTGATCTCGTTATGGTTATTGTTGTGGCGATATACATAATTGCGTATGCATTTTGTAATACGACGCAAGGTGCAATATTGTTTATTTTTTTTATTTGAAAGCGGTGTTTATTAATTTTTAAATATTGTGATATATTCATAATTATTTAAGTTTTTCATAATGTGTCTTGAATAACTTTCCTATGTGTATTTGTAATTGTATTAATCGATTGATAATTTTGTGTGAAATTGAAACATTTTTCTATTCATATATTTGTATATTAAAAAAAGCATGCATCAGAGACATGCATTTTTTCATATTCACTTGTGTTTAAATATAGAAAAACACATTTTCTAATGCATCGAGAATTCGGTATTTTTAAATGTCCATTTATTGGTCATTTAAATTATTTTCTCTTTAAATTTCATTATTCATTAAATAATTTAAATTGAGAAAAGTTTTGTTCGCGGATTGCATACCGAATTTCATTTTTCCACACATGCCCTTTTCATCTAGTTTTTTGTTTTAGAATGTACTGTTTTTTTCAAGCTGTAAGGAATAATATTAAAAAATACCGCTTTATCAATTGATATTTACAACAATGTTAATCAACAAAAATAAAGGTAATAGGGGGGTGGGAGTAGGTAAAATTACATTTTTTTTTATTATGAACTGGGATAAATAAATAAGAAACCGCGTATTTTCCGTATGTTTTTTTTTTTCGTGAAAAATATTTTTCCGATTAATCTAAGAAATAAATTTTTATTTCAGGGTCATCGATATTGGCAAGATTCGATTCGACTGTGTTCTCGTAGTAGTTATGGTGTTGATTTTTGTGTCTGAATGTATGAATGTATGTGTGCGTGGGAACAAATTCTTGGCATTTGTTTGATATATCAATTATCCATTTATTTTCAGGACATTTTTATTTAGATTTCACTGGTGGCTGCTAATTTTCATTGATTCTTGTTTAATTATAAATCTTTTCAGATTGTTTCTGTTAACAGGTAGCAATATTGTTAATAGCATCTGAAGAGGATTAATCGTAGATAGAATTATATATTAGATAATAAAATAAAATAAGATATAATATATAGGCTATTGATAAGTATGATAATAAGATGAATAATGTAACAAGAATTTTTTTTAAATTATTATATTTTTATCGAGTTTGAAATAAAATATGAGGTGTATATTTTATATCATTACGAATTCTTATTAATATTAAAATAATACTTCGATGCACACGTCTGTGCACATCATTACAATGTGTGCGTTCTTCGTATTGTATCATTTTGCTTGTGTTCCTCTATTATAAAAATTTGCGTGTAAGATTGTAAGTTTCATCCGAATATAAATAAGAACGTTTACATTATTGCGTTTGTTTAGTAAGAACTTSCGTTTTACATTTGAAGTTTCAACCGAATCTACATCAAAGCGTTTCCATGTTTACGTATTTGCATGTTTGTATGTTTGCGTTAATTTAGGAATGGAGTACTGTAAATGGGCTCTATTCCTTATACGTTAATCGGGTCGGTAGATCGATTTCAAAGCGATGTTCATAATTTTTTATCCAACTTGAGTAACAAGTTGGAACAAAAAATTGGTGACTTCGTTTATCGCGTTGCATTTTTGTCAAATTTCTTTCTAATAAATGAATAATAAGATGAATTTGTTAGAGTTGTAAATGTAGAAGTAGAGTCATAGCCCGTGGGTCTCCAAATTCAGCAACCTCCTCGTGGTGAGACCTGGGTCGGTATTACTCGCGAGATTTGTTATAAATTTAATTGTAAACTATGTAACACGAGTACTACCGGGCGAATGGCTGTACTAAATTCAATCTAAATTTATTTACATATTTAATTATTATTCCATTTCTTGTGGCCCTTTCTGACATATTGTTTTTCTTGAATAATCAAATGAGAAATATTAAGATATATACGAATATATATGTGTATATATATTTAATTTAATTATAATTTTTTTTTTTATTTATATATATATTTTTCAATAAGATTTGTGTTAATTGTAAACTTCTACATAATGTCATATCGATGTTATTTCGCTTGTTTCGCATAAGATTGAAATTAATAATAATCGACTTTAGATTTACTTTGACTTATCGTGAATTTATTTATTTTGTACAATAATTTATGCTAATAACGAAATTCAAAGTAAAACAATTATATTAATACGATATGTTTCGCTGCATTGATAAAAGAATAATTATTCCAATTAATAGGTAATTCATTATTTGTATTCTAATTATATTCATATACATATTTTTTATAATTGAAATTATTAATGTATTTAAGGTTAAAAAGAAAAAAAACATTATGTTGAAGTTGTAACGAAATAATATTTGTTTATTAATTGTAGATATTTCAATTCGGAAAATAATCCACTTTATAAGAATAATAAATTTTTGGACGATAATTTAGCATACGAAACCGAATATTATTACAAAAAGGTAAATTATCAAATATATATATTTCTTGTATATTTAAACACAACGATTATTTTCATGAATTTTAAGGACAAAAAATTATTAGAAATACTCAAGCGAAAAACGCAGAACGAAGTTAAAAACATGCAAAAAGAAGTTAATGTAATGCGCAATAAAATCGAAGATTATAATCGAGATATCAACGAGAATCTTAGATTTTTACAAGAATTAGAAAAAAGTACGGCATCGAATAAGAAGAAAGGTTCTTAAAATAAATAATATTAAAAAGAATTAATGTATATATATTAAATTTAATTAAGAATTTGTTTTTGTCATGAATTAACAATTAATTTCCAAGTGTATACATCGTAAATTCATATATTATCTAATTATATTATATAATTTTATCTTCTTTTATACTTTAATTGGTCGGTAATATTATTTCATGTATTAATTAATTATTTCTCGAATTGAAAAGATTTTTATATAAATTTATGCTAACATATATATATTATATATACAATAATCGTTCTACTATACCGACCGTATCGATACCTCGAATTTCGATTATTCACCACAGTAGCGCTTCGATCTGTGTCGAAGTAAGCGTAGTAATTAATCGAACCGCTTGATGTCGCGACAATCGATTAAAATGGCGATCACCATCGAAGGATGGAACCGAATCGATTGTCGCGCCCTCAGTGTTTCGCGATTCATCGATCAGTGTGGTGTGTGCCGCGTTGTTGCTCTCTTCGATTTTTCGTTGCTTCTTTTTTCTAGCTGCGATTAACGCGGCTACGATCGCGTACTTTTTTCGCTTAAGCGAAAACGGCGTTACAGCTGCGGGCTCGACCAGAGCCTAACCCAACTAACTAAAATCTAAGATGAGACGAAGGATATTGTGGATTTTGGTGAGCACGGCCGTCATTCTCACGGAATGCAACGCCACTACGGAGGTAAGAATGACAAACTTCTATTTTCCTTTCATTTCCTATCCATTCATTTTTACCTCTTTTTATTTTTTTTTTTTATATTTACCACTTTCTATCGTAATATTCTGTTTTACTTCCTTTCGCTATTCTATTAAATACCAATTCTTTTTCTTTTTCTTTTTTATCTATTGATTCCCCTTTTTCGTGAACCATTACGTAAACTCCAATATTCTTATTACCACTTGTATACATGTCAAGTTACATAGTATCTTATCGAAAATCAACCCCCTTGTCATGGATCCATCCCCTACCATTCTACTCCCTCTGTTTCGTACTGAATTTGATACAAGGAACGAAAATATAATTTAAAAACAAGAAGAATACAAGAAGAAGAAAAAAACAACAGCAAGTCGCCTTGAATAATTAAAAAAAATTACAATTGCAAAATAGCGCATATAAATTTTCTTAATTAAAGACAAAATATAAATACAAACATAAGAGTGTGGATTATCACCAGTAACATTAAATTATATTAGGCGTCTCGGCGCGATTTCTTTTTAGGTTTGCACGTTGGTTTGACCACTTTGGGAGTGGGGCGAGGGGTTAGGTGATAAAAGGGTGGAGGGGGGAAAATACTCTCTCTCTCTCTCTTTCTCTCTCTCTCTTTCTCTCTCTCTCTCTCTCTCTCTCTCTCGTTACTCCAGCTTTGGATAGTACGAGCCTCGTGTGCACGCGGATGCTGTGGCACGCGCGCAACGCATCTCTCTCTCTCTCTCTCTCTCTCTCTCTCTCTCTCTTTCTCTATTTTCTTCCTTCCTTCCTTTCTTTCATCTCTTTAATTCTCTCATTTTCTTTTTTCTTCGTTAATTATTTTTCCATTATTATTATTATTATTATCTTGTATTAATCTCATTGAAATTTTTCTCATGTGTGGTTTGTTGGTGCACATATGAGTATGTGTGTTGGTGGTCTCTCTTACGTATATTCACCTGAAAAAGGGGAGAAGCCGCGGCACCGAACGGAGTTAGAAAATGGCGACGATTGGGCAAACACGACGATGATATTATATCCTATCTTCGGTTAGTTTTTTATTCGTCGATCCACGATTTCGTTTTCTTTTTCTTTTTCGTTCCCTTTTCTTTCTCTCTTTTTGGATTTTTGTGTGTTTTTTTTATATTTTGATTACTTTACAAAATCTTCTCTCATTTATCTCTTTTTCTTTTTGTTTTTTTTTGTTTTTTAAATATTTTAATAACGTTCACGATATGTATATAATTAATAAGAAATTGATACGTGACATCGGAGAGAAAAAGTCGAAATAAATAAACGTTTGATAATAATATTTTTTAAAACACAAATTACGTGTATATATATTATTTATGGTATTATTTATTAATTTTAAGAGATTTAACACGTACGGTCAATTTTTATTCGGAGATTAATATGCGTGTGCCGCGTATATTTGTGTGTTGTAGTATGTTTATCGAGAAGTTTATTTTGCAAATGATGTTTTTTTTGTTTCTTTTATCTCATTTATCTGAAAAAAGTTCGTGCCCGGTTACATTACAATCTTGTTGAATATATTATAAGAGAAAAATAAAAAGAGAGAGAGAGAAACAAGAGATAAAAACGCGTTTAATACGAAAGAAACTCGACCTTGATGAGAGAGAGAGGGAGAAAGAGATAAAGATAAAAAAGAAGAGAGAGATATTAAACTGACCTCGATGACCATCTTCGTGTCATTTTTATTTATGCAACCTGAAAAGTACTGATGAAAAGTTTTGAAATTAGAACACGAACGAGAGGAAGATTCCGAAATTCTTCCGTTTGTTTAAGATACGCGTATCTCCTTTCTTGGGCTTAAACTCAACACGAAAATTCATTACGATTTACGAAGAAATTCAACGAAATTTTACGTCGCATCATATATTGTATATATGTTGTGTTTGAGAAGAAGAAGATAATTTAATCGGAAAGAGAACGAGATAGAGATATATGAGATGAACAAAAAATATATATAAACGCGAAAAATAATTTCATTCTCTAATAGAGAGAGAAAATCGTATTAACCTTCCAACTCCCCCCACCCCCCCCACCCCACTCTCCCCATTTATCGTCTATTATTTCTAACTTTATCGCCATGTATTATTAACAATATTCTAGGTGGGAAATTCCAAAGTAAATAATCCAACTCTCTCTCTCTCTCTCTCTCTCTCTTTCTCTCATACTCCCTATATTATTACTATTATTATTATTACGTATATTTTCTCTCGTTAAAATGTTAAAGGTATGTGTATTTATGATTTTAGTCAACGATTCGATTGTGCGTTATTTTGAAATAAAAAAAGAAATAAAAAAATATATATATATATATATAATTGAAAGAAGAATTATAAAAAGAGAAAATAAATAAGATAAATGAAGATATAGGAGACCGGAAGACTTGACTAGTTATGTACGTGTTTCTAACGGTAGTAATGCACGAGACAAGGAAAGAACCTTACGAAGTCAAGACGGCAATCCTACGCGAGTTCGCCACCAACGATGATTCCTTTGATACATCCACACACACACACACACATATATATATATATACATCCATAAATACATAGAAGAAGAGACATAGAGATGCGTATAGAGTAATGCACGGTAGACATTATTTTCAGGGAGCGTACGATTTGTTTTGACGAGTGGCTAACGAGTCTGTCTCTTGCATATCCGACTCACATATATATATATATATATATATATGAGATCCTCGTTTATGTGAATTTCTCTTTCTCTCGAATATGCGAATTGTTGGTCTACTCTTTGTTTCTCCAATTCCTCTTTCCATCTCTATCCATCTATCCATCTCTGTCTCTTTTATATCCCCCTTTCCTTCCCTTCCCTGTCTCACACATATACAAACACACGTATTACATTCTCGTTCTAAACCCCTCTTTACTTCCCTTTTCTTCTACCTCATTCCTCATCCCCTCAGCCCTCACCCCTCACCCCTCCTCTAACTCTTTTCCTTCCTTTCCCTTCCATCTTCCTCATCCTCGTCCTTTCTTGCCTTCCTTTAACCCCTTTGTCACGAGCCCCGGTCACGGATATAATTAATTCCAGTGTGTGTGGAGTAAAGAATATGGAAGGAGAGAAAAGGTTGAACGAAGAAACGCATTGTCTATCAACTCCTTTTTTTTTTTTCTTTTTTTCTTTTCTTTTCTTTACCTTATACCTCATCCTTTGAGTATAGTCCCTTTTACAGGATCACCGATCCTTCGCACGATATAATCCCCATTATCATTATCATTATCATCATCATCATCATCATCATCATCATCATCATCATCATCATCATCATCGTCGTTGTCGTCATTCCCATTCGCCATCGAGAACGTTCATTATAGTAGTTCCAAACCTCGTTTAAGGTGTCTGCTTTTTGTTTGTTTTCTTGTTTTTGTTCCATATCTTTTTTTTCTTCTCTTTTTAAAGGAGGGAGTTGGTGGGTGGGTGAGATATAAAAGGGGTGAATAATCCGATTAATTGTTTGGATCCTTTTCTCTCTCTCTCTCTCTCTCTCTCTCTCTCTCTCTCTCTCTCTCTCTCTCTCTCTCCATTTTCTCTTTGCTCTACTACAGGGTATCCGAGATTTGTTTTGTACACGCGTTGCGTGCGTATTCTACGTGCTATCAGAAATAAAAGAAAAATATTTATATTGTACTTATAAAAATAATATATTATGTCGTTCATAAAGTTATAATATCAATTGTATAATTGTCTATATAAAATGTATTGATCAAAAATGATCATTAATGATTTTTAGCTAATTCGGCTTATGTTGTTTATTATTTTCAAATGTCGTTATTCAAATGTATTTATTTTTTAAATAATAACTTGGACGTAGCTGGATTACTTAGTTTCCCATTTTTAGTTGGGAAACTTAAAAAAACAACTACAAAAAAAGTTTATGCAACTGTGGAGATAGTTACACACTCGGGATTATGAATGTGCAGTTGCAGAAATTAATTAGAAATCCACAAATAATTCGACATGTCAGAATGAATGATAATAAAAAAAAAAAAACGGTGTTGTTAAATTTATATTAGCGTCAAAAGTCGAATAACATTTTGAACAATAATACATTTACAATTAGATATATTTGTGTTATAACTTTTGAATAAAACTTCTAATGACACTTACGTACTTATATATAGAAACATTTTTTGCCTTATTCATTTTTTTTTTTTTTTTAACTAACAACGCGTGTGCGAAAAAAAAATCTCGGACAAAGGTAATGTGGCTTTTTGAAAAATATTACAAATGTTTCGTTCTGATTTCATTTATACATCATTTATCGTACGTGGGTCGTTCAAATTTTCATTTTCATTGTGTGTGCGTTCACATAAAATATTGTTTTCAGGTGGTAACTAATTTCGCGTAAATTTTTCAGGTATTATTAATAATTGGACACCTTGTATTTTTGATATCACGTGTATATATATGTACGACAGGATTTGGTTTCAAACAAAAAAAAAAAAAAAGTATTGTTTTCTTTTCGTAGGGGCCGCTCGGAAATGGAGAAAGGGTTTATTTATACAGTTTTATTCTTTACAGAAACATTATACACAGAGTATCGATTAAACAACAAATATTTTATACACGAATTTTGGTAATACTCCAAACAATGCAATAAATCCTACGCGCACACACGCATAAAGGTTTTTTTTTTTTTCATTTTCTTTTTCTTTTTCTACTTTTTTTCCCCTCTTTGTTAAAATCGTTAATCATTATTAAAACTGAATTCGATTATTCAATTGTATTACATTTTCTAGTTATTATCTATAGTAAATGATAAATAATATATCGTGCATTTAATATCAGGTAATATAGAAACAAATATAATACGCTCGTATTAAATACGAATATTTATCTATACAATTTTCAACCCCCTTTCCTACAAATTAAACAAATTGTAATTAGAAAGTGTTTTAGTATCAACAAATCCATACCGGGGTAATATAATTAATATCCGTCAT